TATCTGGTCTTTTTTGTGATCAAGTATGGTTTGAGAGGGTATGAGGGTATGGTATGGCATGGTATGGTCTGGGCTTTGATATCAACCGCGTATGGTAAAAATCATGCCATGATTTGTCAGCATGTAGTGTAGGAACCTGGTGTTGTTCTGTTTTTTTTGCTGTTGTTGTTTTTACCTCGACCCGCAGCCCTCGCTCGATTGCTGACAACTTGTTGATATTAGCCTGAGTGCGTGAATTCATGGGAAAAAATAAACGCTCACAAAGCCGTGACAAACAATTCCATGTGCTTAGTTTCGGCCCTAAGGGTCATTGAAATGTGTTTCACAGCTAAGAACCTTTCAGCTGAACCGCGCTCACCTTCGAGAGCTAAATTTGTTTCTTAACTACACATCACGTCGAATTCCGATTGTTCGAGCGGTGATAGGGACGGTTTATTTGACTCTGTTATTACGACCACTGTTTTCATTCATCGTGCTGCATCATTTGATCTCCTACCACCACCAAATATATAAAACGATAAGATCACAGATCCTGTATGCAGAAGCAGATGCTTTGGAGCACGGCACATTGAAGAAGAATGATTTTACAGTGGCCGTCTCCATGCAGGTGGAAGTGTCTGTATCAGTATGATAATGAGCTGTATTTAGTCATCATCTTAACTCTTCTTCCATCGTTTGCCGATCAGATTGCCCACTTGATTAAATGTAAAAATTAATGTGCTTGCACACTCATTAGCTAGGAGTTATTAAACTCCAATAGCTTGAACTTGAAATAAATAGCGTGACGACCCATGATTTTAGCTCAAAACATGGAATCATCCAGACTCTTCCTAGCTAAGTCCAGCGACATCGTTAATGACCCATCCTACGTCATTCCTGTATTTGTGCGAGCTATGCTAATCATTGCTCACAAAACATTTTGCCACCGTAACGTGGCATCATCAGCTATACTAAAATAGCATGATACCACAATAGCTTAGAGGACAGTTGTTCCCCAGACAGCCGTCCTACCCGTTACTTTCCCAATCAGTCGGACTCTCACGTCGATTGAGCGACTACCCACTATTGACTTCCGTACTATTGAGCCATATCCTCGCGTACCTGGCGTGTAACAAGTAAGAGCTGCCCCTCAGAGATCACGCCGGCCACGCGCCGTGTCACGGCCTCATGCGGCCGGCCGGCTCCTGCGGCTGTGGTAAGCCGCTGCTCCCTGCACATGTAGCATAACTTGCCACGGCCCGCCTCGCACGTGAGTCATGGCCACGCTCATCCAAGGGGGTGGAAGGTCGCAGATAATCGCCCAATCACTAACACAGTAAAAATACTAGACTCATTAATGCAAGTCGGGTGCTAAAACATAATTTTAGCACATAGCATTTCTTAAACGTAGCATCAAAGCATTAAACGTCGGGCTTGAAACTAGCATCCTATGCATTTATGAGCCGCAAATGATAATTATATTGAATGCTAGGTCAGTGTAATGCAAGCTACTGGAACAAGTACTAAATGCAGCCTGTTGTCCTGCAACGCAAACAGTCGCGAATTGTTCGCGTTAACAATGAAGGGCCAGCCTTCCCGTGTTCGAATTCACAAGCCCCATTAATCTATTGAGGGAAGGAGGGCATAGTGACACTGCAGTGGTGACTTGCTTTATCATCCGGCCACTGCATACAGACCTCTTAGTCTGGGAGCCTGGGAAATCACGTTCTCAGGCCTGGAGAGCCCGGTGCCTGTCGGACGGTGCCATGGAGATGCACACGAGCTCAGACGGCCTCTGCACGGTACAGTGCGTGCAGCCGCGTGGCACCAGTCCCGGCGCCGCGCCGCCGCCGTCACCGGCGCCCGACGGCACAGCGCAGTCATGTGCCGCCATCGAGAGCTCCAATGACCATACACCTGTCGGGCTGGGCGGCGGCGCACTGTCCGACCGGCCGTCCGAGCCGCCACTCAGGCCCGGAGGCGCCGGAAGCACCTGTCTCGCCCGCACGCTGCCGGCGCCGCCGCGCGCAGCGCCGGGCGCTGGCGCTGCAGATCTGCGCCAGGCAGCGGCGAGAGGCGGGGGTGCTGGGTGCCGGGTGAGGGGTGCTGGATGACGTGCACGTGACAGGCCGAATTGGCCGCACCGGCAGCTGGCATTCAGTTACTCGTGACGGCAACCCCATTCGAGTCCCACGTGTTGTGGCAGGCGGCGGGTCCGCTCGGGACAGCGCCGCGCTCTGTGCGATGGAGGGCCCGCTCTCGGGGCTGCACAATGCCAGGCTGATGACTGAATGAATGACCGCATGCGCGGAGCCGGCTCGGCGGCTCTGCATATCGGCAGGCATCGTCTGCTAAGAGGCTGCCGCATGCCGAGCGGAGCGCTCCCAGCGCATGCAGATCAGGGCTGCTGGAGCTGGCAGGACGGCAGCGATCACCGCCGCATCGGCCCGCGTCGAGTCCAGGAACCATAGCTGTGGTTGAGCGCCCTCCCTTGGCTATGCGGACTATCGCGAGCATTCAGTTGGTCGTGAGTGGTCAGACATGCTCTGTCGTTTTCGAGACAGCTGTCGTTTATGTGGTGACCTCATCTTTTGCGCGATTTGTATTTGAATATGAGGCGCTGACAGCGAATGCATCGGCGTTCCATCGCCATCGGTGACACCTAGCACCATCGCGATGGCTGAAAAAGGGAATTGTAAGTTCTATGTAGTTCTGCATGTAAACGCCTACCATTTAGCAAACACAAGGCAAGCCAGATGTTCCGTATAGTTTTGTCCACCAGTGCATGTCTCAAAAATCCGAAGTGCTCATCATGTGCATGCTAATTGATCCAGACCATAATCACACTGTAATGCACCGGGAAGAAAAACAGAAAGAGCAAATCTAGCTCTAGTCAGTCTAACAGCTTTTCCATGAGTACAATTCAGCACAGCACACTCTGTGCACGCGGTACACGTGAGATAATCGGACTGGCAGGCGTGTACAAATGCGTATCTGCCAGTACAAGTACCGCGAGAACCGCGTAATGTCACTGCAGTGATGAGCTGTGGACGTGAGCTGGCTTCGCACACACACACGGGTGACCTGACGTGTTTCAGCTGCACGGAAGGAGAGAAAATTAAGTCAGTTAAGAGACTTATCGTTTGGAATGTGATGAGATCATTTGGCTGGTCTGGGCGGAAACAGTGCCTCACCAGCGTGGGCGGTGCAAACAGCTTCTCGGGTCCGGAGGTGGCCGCTCATCTTCGCGTGATGTCATCAATACAGTCATATTTAAGCCTTCGATCCGAAGCTGGATCGGTTCCGAGAAAACGAATCACGACAGCTATTCGTTGGTAAAGGGCAAACTGCAGGCCCACTTGTTTACTTGCATGAATGCATGGGACGCAGCCTTGTTCGTTTCATTTAACAGCCAAAGCGAATATGAACATGCATGCTAGCGTCGATGCAGGCACATAGCCAGGGGGCGTTGGCATGGGGACTATGCCCCCCCCCCCTCCCTCCCACAGAGCCAAATAGGTAACACTGCATACTGAGCGATTTCGCAGGCATTGGGGCCAAATTCGTAGGGCTTTAGATAAAATGTGGCATCTGCCGCAACCCCTCTGAGAAAGATTCCAGCTACATTCTTGCATTCATGAATTGTGTGTGGTCACCCCCGGTGCAATAAAGAATGGCTTTAGGATCCATCACTGCCCAGTATGTTTTCAAGAACGTAGGCCTCTTGCACACCGCGGTTGTTTCGTATGACAACTTTAGAAAACCATTCTGCCTAGTTAAAACGTTTCGCGCATCTAGTAAACCAAAAGAATCGATGCAAGTTAGCTATAGATTTCGTCACAAGTTCACTGTCATCATTACATGCCATGCTACATTTCAATGGCACGCGTATTATATGACACGAAAGAGAATGACCAAACAGCAAAATCATCAAGATGTCTGCCAGGCAATTGTGGCTACTGATAAACTCAACTGTAGTAGCTAGCAAACGTTTTTTGATACATCTACCGCGGAATAGTGGGTAACTTTTCGACAATTTACTCTTATACACACCTAAGTAAACATCCAATGATAGACTAAACGCCCGTGTCATGGCACCGAAATTTCTATAACATCATTGCCGTTTTTGTAACTGCTTATCTACGTAGTTGCCTATATTGGGTGCAACGTTATTCTGAATGTGATTCATACGCATCAATAATGTTTCAAAAACCTCTGCACAAATAGGAGAGCTGCTTGCTAACGATATCCGAGAGGCTATCATAACAGCAGATATCTAAAAACTGCAGATTCACGGGCATAGCCGTCAGTAATCTGACCTTACTCATCTTGCCATCAGTAACCTGACCCCTTCCGCCAGTGCCCTGGCTTTTCCGGTCTGCCGTCACCCATCAGACTGGCCGCTAGATGGGTGAGGTGATGGCAAGATGAGCGACAAGATGATTACCCTGGAGCAAAATGAGAGTTCTCCCTCCCTGTCGTCAGCCTTCTGACCTCTCTCCCCCTGCCGTCTCTTTAGTATCCTGATCTCCTGTCCAGAGTCGTCAGCGTTCTGACCTCTCTCTCCTGTCGTGTTGTTAGTATCCTGGCCTCCTCACCAGAGCCGTCAGCATTCTGACCTCTTTCTCCTGTCGTCTCGTTAGTATCCTGATCTCACCAGAGCCGTCAGCATTCTGACCTCTCTCTCCTGTCGGCTCGTTAGTATCCTGGCCTCCTCACCAGAGCCGTCAGTGCCTTAACCTCCCTCTCGTCGCCGTCAGTTCCTCGGCCTCTCTCCATCTGCCGTCAGCACTCCGACATCACCCACTTCGCTCCCCGCCGCTCCCCGGCTCTGCCTGCCGCCTCTGCGTGGCTCTGCCCGCCGCCGCTTCCCGGCTCTGCCTGCCGCCTCTGCGTGGCTCTGCCCGCCGCCGCTCCCCTGCTCTGCCCGCCGCCTCTGCGTGTCTCTGCCCGTCGCACCTCCCCGGCTCTGCCCGGAGCCTTGCGTCTTGGCGAGAGCGGTCATTCGGAGTTGCGCCGTGCTGCAGGGAGGGCGCTGTCGTCGGTCGCAGTGTTCCGTCCGTCACGTGGAGTTGGTCATGGCCTGAGATAGGTCACCCATCCACCGCGACACGAACAGGATGGCCAGGCAACGGTGAGTGACCACCCACGTCTGTCCTCATCCACTGTGTGTGCCCTGCCTTGACATCGAACAGTCTGTTTCGGCATGCATTTGCTGTATTCAGCGCTCCACTGCCTCATTCTGCCGGCTTTCCATGCTTCTCGGCCCTCGACAGTCAAAATAAGTGTGTTTGTGTGGGGTGGTGTGGGTGGCGGATGACATGTGACAGCAGTTGTTGCTGCACCTGCCGTCGAGGTGTTGAAACAAGGGTAAGTCGTTGGTTACATCAGTTTTCCATTAGTTGTGTTTGTGATTGGCTGGTACGTTGTTGTCCAGATAAACTGGTTCAAGCAGTCATATCATAGAGATGACAATCATTTTACCGGAGTGCAAAATTGTGTCATATATCAGTCTTCTTAATATTTTTGGCAACAAGATGAGCATACCATTTATGATCACATAAAAAAACCTCTGAGGGCCTTTGCTTGGAAAGATCTTAATCTTCCAGTGCATTCCTTGCGCGCAACTTTGACATTAGCACAGGGTGAACGGTGAGGAATATTTAGGTGATGTCCAGAACTCGAACTGATCGTAACTTGGCCTGGACGAGTAAGTCAGTTCCATCGGGTCCTCGGCGAAATCGCAAAGTCGTCTATCGCCACTGGTCTACGCTGAAGTTTGCTCCTCTTAAAAGAGGAGCGAAGCTTATCTTAGAAAATTTCTTGCTTGCAAACTTTGCAAGCAAGCAAAAACGCAAAAATAACATGCACATGTGACCATCATTAGCCTGTGGTGGCAATGTTTGAATTCGGAGTACGTGTGCACAGAAGAAATGGCTTTTCGCGGCCAGTGCACAAACAGGCATCACATGTGGATGGTGTATTACGATCTGTTGCCAAGAAAAACTTGTACATGATGCATACAACGCACAATTCCTTCTTTCTGAGAGCGGCTGAGGCTGTGCGCACCATTTTAGTATTTGAGATGTACGACATCCAACGGTCTTACAGTGCACTCTGACGCGAATCATGACCCTTCATATCCTGTTGTAAAGCATAAGCATGGCCATATGAATCCTGGCAAATGACCCTGTGGTGAGGATATCTGCTCTCCGGTATAAACATGGCAACCAGAAGCTATTATATTAATGTACCATGTTCTTGGTGCATGTATTTTTTTGGTGCACATTTTCTTCCGAGCCATTGGTTTTGCGGTGTGCAATACAAGTCTGTCGTCCTAGGGCAAAACATACTTAAGTGCGCTTAGGTATTTTTGCCTTTGGACGACAGAAATGCACCTTTCAGGGGCGTATCTTAACCGTCAAAAACTGAGTAAGTTGCTCAGTGCATTAGCAAAGAACATTAGTCACACAGATAAGACAGTGCTTTTAGCCTTATTCCTCGAAAACGAGGAAAATGAAAATATAGACCCTTTTATCTCCATCGAAAATTGAAGCCAGTTTTCCGGGCACATCGATGTATGCCAGGGTACTTAACTCGTCTGCCCTCTATAGCGCATCGGGATGACCCGAATTATTTGTTTTGCGGTGTACAAGACAAATGCGCTGGTCGCATCAGCCAGCTGTTAGGGACATTCTTGGCGTGTGCTTAATCTTAACGAGCCGTTCCGTGCACCATAAGACGGCCTAATGTCCCTGGATAATGACCCCGAAGGACTGCCAGCAGAGCTTGGACAGAGAATTGGACATTTCATCGGACACGCACGTTTTAGTCACGACGCGAGAGGCAAAGCTGGCATCGCTGTCAAATCGTGCGATGCCAGTGAATTCCACCCGGGTATGCGATAAATAAAACGGACGTAAGTGTCGAGGAGTGTAAACAGTTTACGTGGTGATCAGAAATAGCCAGATGGTACCGTTCCTAAAGCTACCACACGATTCTATGGAATGTAAGAAATTGCTGGCGCCGTCAGAAATGGACAGGGGCATGACAGCACGCATTACAGATTGTAATGACAATATTTCTTGGGAGAGAGTTTGTTTGCTGGAAGGGGTATATTGGTCAAGTGCATTCGTTTTAAAGAAGATCGAAGCAGCGCTTGATAGCCACAGACCTTTTTGAAGGATTACCGGGAACGAGCGTCTTCGGGGTATGTATTCCAATGAAGGTACACTACATTAGAAAGAATGCACAAAAAGCATGCGCCTCTGGCCTCTCACTCAATCACTGCTTCTTTAAATATTTCAAAAATTATGTTCAGCTGCTTCTAAGATCATGACCGAGCGACCTTGAGTTACGTGACCTACGTTGGCCGTCGGCACGATCAATGTTTTTTTCTCAAATGCAGAAACAAAAGGTAAAAGATTATCTTTGGAAATCAAAAATAAATGCAGATGGTTTTGTTCTAATGCTGGCACTTGTCCTTCAAGATCGAAACACGAGGCCAGTTTGGCCCTAATGTAATGGGCAATTCATATTTTGGTGTTTAAACAGCTGGACACCTCATTCGATTTGTGCAGAAATAAACGTTTTTGAGCTCGTCTTGATCCATTTGTGTTTTTAGGCATTATCTTCTCCATGAATGTTCATTTGGTAAGTGACCCGATGACAAAAGATGTAGTATCGAACGCTAAATTATTTATTAGTCACAACTGCTTTTCCCTGATTATTTTATAATCGATGTTGGGGTTGTCACTGCCATACGAAAAACACGACAGTTGTGTTCCGTACAATATATTTTGACTCCCGGTCACGGTAGTGTGGTGTTGTGGTTGGCAAGGTCAAATGTGTATGATGATATTTAACCGAAAACACGAACAGTGTTCAAAACATCGCTAATTGCTGCAATATCAACCGTGCGTCGCTTCGGACCGCAAGTCTTGGGAGATAAAAACAAGTCACACTTACTCAGGATTCAGCACGGGCACTAATATAAGTCCAACTTAAAATGAACTCACACCAACAAACGAATTGAGACATTTTTGCTATTGAATTTGCTCTGAATGGTTTGCATAGGTGGCCTTGGTTCATAACACCTGCTAAGCATGGCTTGCTGCGTTTACCCCAATCCCACCATGCAGGTTCTGCCGTCCAGTTCAACGGGTAAATATACCTCCGCCTTTCGCCAGACTGGACTGCGAAGGGTTTTACGTTCCGCGAGCATCGTGTTGTAAAACACATGAATCGAATCGGGTCATAAACCGCTTGCATTAATGCAACACAATGCTGTTATTACAATGTAGTACAATCAGCTAAACACCGTCTACTGTGCGGGACGAGCAGCGAGAACAAGATAAAGAACGTCATTATCGTTAAGGAGATGGTACCTAAACATAAGAGAATGAATGGAACGGAATGGAATAAAACCCAAGGCTCGCCGCCTTTAGGAACCCATATGAATAGCAGTTAACAGTACAATGGCATACCTAAGTCACGAGTTCGGCTCGGTTTAAGTGCACTGGTGTTTGGCGTCCGCACACTAGAAATCTAGCACTGACAAAGTGGCTGCTTTGAGCCTGCGAATGTCTGGCATTGTTAGCCGACGAGGTAAATTAATTTGCAATGGTTTTGGTGTTTGACAGTAAAGTCAGAAACGCGCTACTGTTTTGAATGCGTCCTGGTCACAATAAGCTGGGCTTCGCGCCTGTGTAGTTTATGTGGCTACGAGGCTAGGCCTCACATTAGGCCACAGGGACCGTGACAGTAAATTTATCTTAATATATTTGGACTGGGCATGGAAATGTTGACAAAGGTAACCTCCAGGTCAGTTACTGACGCGTCTATGAATGAGGTGGCGTTTACCCAAAAAGTTGCGGCGTGACAAGCCTTACCGGCCGGGCCTGGACGGGTCGCTGAACTCACATTTCCAGTTAGCCGGCGCGGAGGCCCGCTCAACCCCCGCTTTCACTTGTTAATACTTCCAGTGAGATGCCTTTTGCGGTGTGGAACGAGCGAGATGATAGCAAACGTGTGGATTACCATGCGCATAATGCATAAACGTGAGCGAATGCGGACCGTCGCCCTCAGGGCCGCCCATGAATCGGAGTCAGCATTGCACTGGAATATACCACCTCGCAAGTTCTCTGGGGCTCGTTCCGGTGGCTCAGTTAGCTTAAGCGTATGCCTTCTGATCCACCCACCCCTGTCAGGGTGAGTGAGGGTCGCTTAAGGCGTTCGCTATTTGACCTTGGCAGATATGGCCTGCGACGGGTGACAGCGGCGGCGTTAAAGGTCAGGTGACGTCGAAGTGCAGAACGGACCGTGCCCAGCATTGCGGCACGTTCAACTTTCGCCACCAAATTCTGTCATTGACCTGGAATTGCACGATCGCAAGGTAGGGGTCAGAGCTCATACAGCAAACGCTGCTTTGTTTGAGGTCTGATTCCAGAAACCCATCCATTTAAAACGCTTGGAATGAATTTAAAAAAAGCAGTTTGGGAGGTGGATTAGTTAGGGGGATTAAATAGATTGGCAGGTGGATAGGCAGGTAGATTAGACAAGTAAGGATTAGTTTGCTGTCCGATTAGTCTCATTCCGTGGCCACACCCGTCCGCCGAGATCTGTGGCTGTTTTCCAGCCACAGATTTCGGCCTTTCCACTGTCTGAAAACTTTACGTTTCACAGATTAATGGATTGAAGAGGTAAGATGTGGCGATATCGCAACGTCGCAAGCACACGCCGAGGGATCAGACAAGCTGCTTTAAGGTGTATTGACCTTATTACGGTACAAATTTTGATATATTGCTCTATTTGTTGATGACAAGTCATGGTTTTGCGATCATTGGCTGCAGACCTATAAGCCCGTCAGTGGCGCTTCTAGCCAGGTCAGACTGGACCAGGCTGGGCCGCTAACGTACACAGTTTCCGGTTAGTTGACGCTAATTAAACCACCCTTGGTGTCGTCTGTGAAAAAATAGTCAGGCGTAGTGAAAGCCGAAATGTTTTAAAGCGGCGTGTACATTTTTTCCTTTTATTTTAATTTATTTACTTCAGACAAACAGATGACCAGAATGAGCTGTGGTTTGTTTCAGACTTCACAACAATGAAGCTTCATATGGACGCAATGCACGCGCT